ATGTAATGACATAATCTAGCATTATGTAATGACGTAGTCATCCTCCATTTTGGGGCTCTGATGTCATCATCCTCCATTTTTGCATCACACCAATTTTCACAAAACGACCTGGTCTTTGGACCCTAACCATGTCCATAAGTGAGGAGTGGGTGAACTGAATTTAAGTAAAGAAAGTAAGGTTGTTAAACAACTTACGTGCTATAGTTTATGGATAGAGCTATGTATCCACACACATCTATGTTTAAATGTGTGTATGTGTGCCTCTGCCTACATGTGTACATACATACATAGAACCTCTCCAGATAGATAAATAAAACTTGTAACAAAGCTGCACTTTAAGAGAGCAAATAGGTTTAAGGATAGGGATTGGAAGATGATTCACAATCTTCAACCTTTTAGTCCTTTTGAATATTCTATCATATGCATTAATCACCTGGTGACACTAATCAAAATAATGTTGGAGAAGTGTATTCAAACAATATATTGAGTTAAAATAAATAAAAGGCAAGCTGTAAAATGGGATATTCAATAAGAGGTTATTTTATAATCTGTTAAAAAGAATAGATAAATGGACAGAAATACATCAATGTCATATGATCAATCATGGCACATAATCAAAGTGATTTTTCAAAGTGATATTTATAGGTGATTTTATTTTCCCTTGGGAGCTCCGGTGGCGTAGTGCCCAAGGCATTTGACTGCTAACCAGAAGGATAGTGGTTCAAACCCACCAGCCACTCCTCAGAAGGAAGGTTGGGCAACCTATCTACCTCCGTAGTGATACCGCCTCGGAAACCCAAGGAGCGGTCGCTACGAGCCAGATCCAACTCCACAGCAGTGGTTGTGTTTGTTTTGCATTTATTTTCCCTTATGCATATTTTCTAATTTTCCTTAAATAAGTAACCATTATTAGGACCAAAAAAGCATTTTTGTTGTTGTTGTTTTACTTCCACAATATACTTAAATCTCTTGGACATTTTTCTAATAAAAATATATTGCCAAGGTTATGGCCTCAGTACAGCTGGTACCCATCCAGTTTAATAAAATTTGGAAAAGTCCCATAAGAGAGATTCTACAACTGTCAACAAGCAGAAACAATTAACTGAAACAGAAAAATAAAATAATCTTAACTTACAATAAAAGGATCAACAGCACCACAGTTCAGTAGAATCTGAGGTTCTTCTTTGTTTTGAACTATGAGAATATTTGTTTTTACTGCGTTCATAGATTATTCTGTTGTGAGCTCTCAGTGAAAGATCACAACCCCTCCCACCACTCAGCTTTTACCCTAGGGACAAGGCAGGCTGCCACATAAAAATAAATGGAGGAAGTGAACACCAGCTAACAAAGACATTAGCACCATATGGAAAGCGAGACTATGGAGACTATCGACCAAAGAAATCAACCGCATGGGTGAGTCACACCCAGAGATTTGTGAGCAGACCCTCAAAATTGTCATCAATTCATCTAAACAGTTGTTCTGTTTTTAAATCCATGACATCTCTCACATTTGTTATTTCTAAAGCACAGCTGCCATGCTGAAATTACAAGGACAGATCATTGCACTGCTGTTTTCATGCAGTTCTTCGCCCCGGCCCCACCCCACCCCCCCGCACCTTTTGGCTCCAGCAGCTTTCCCTTTTCCCCTTAAAATAACAAAGTTTGGGATTTTTTTTTTTTTTAATTTAAATACAGATAAAATGCTTAATGGCATACCAGGTGACAGTCAGTACAATATAATGGCACTCAACTAAAGATTATTAATAACATAAGAGAGTACTTGAGTATAAATATTTATTCAGCCCCATAAAAGGTAGCCGGGAGGTTTCTTACACAATGTACACTCTAGTTAGCATGCTGCACTGCACTTTCAAAGTAGGAAATACTACACACATTAAATGAGCATTACTGGCTAATGCTCAGGAACTCTTGAGAGGCACTATGCAGTTTAAGGTGTTCTCAATCATTTGATGTTATCAGGTCTCAAATCCAAGTAGATTGTATACAAGGTCTGGATAGAGGAGCTGGTGGAAAATAATAGATAGTGGGCCTGATATAAAGGCCCTTGTGGTACAGTGGTCAAAGCAAAATTCAGCTAACCAAAAGGTTGGTAGTCTGAAACCACCAATCAGCCTTTTCACTGGAGAAAGATGAGGCAATCGGCTTCTGTAAAGCTTTACATCCTTGGAATCCCTATGGGACCATTCTACTCTATCACATAGAGTTATGAGTCAGAAGCAACTCAGTGGCTGTGGATTTTGTTTTGGTTTTCTGTGGCCTGATATTAAAGAACATTAGAACAAATAGTTGAAAAAAGGAAAATTTCTGTGTTTATTTTAAACTTCTAACAGTTAAATAAACTGATACCAAAAGAAGAATTCTGACATAAACCTTTAAACCTTCTTTTCCATAAAAGAAAGAAGGTTTAAAGAGACATTTTGAATTGAGAAATGCATTTAAAATAGGTTGCCCTTCTCTTTCATTTTGCATCTAGAGCTTTTTTGAAGGGACAGATGAAAGTAACAATACTCCCTTCATATTAAAAAGTAAAGTTAAACAAATCCTGTAATTGTTTAATTTGGTTCTAAATACTCTGTAAAATACACAAGTCAAGAGAAAATCCCAGAGTTTTAAATCTTATTTCAAACAGCAGAACCTGTTGGTAGATACGCAGGGTTTAAAATCTCAGGTCCACCTTTTTCACATTACGCCAGGTCTCGCAGACTAAGCCATTCGCTTGGCCAGTTCAAAGGTCTTACTTATAAACTCACCCTCAACTTTATTCACCTAATCACAGAGTTCTGCTTCTTGAGAACACAGAGAGAAAAAGGACAGGATGAAGTAGGAAGCAAGGGGCTGACTTGAAGGGACAACTGAGGTTCCATTAGCTGGAAGCTGCTCTTGGACACTCTTCCTTTTCATCTTAGGCAGCTGGTCAAACATTTCTGAGCACCTAGCATGTGCCCTGGGGACCTAAAGATGAAAGAGCAAAGGCCTCCCTAATCTCACAGTCTGCTGGAAACAGAAATAAGGTGGCAAGGCAACCCAAGCTGACAGAAATGAAAGTGTAAGGAAAGGCCATGAGGTTAGGAGAGAGCCAGCTGACCTTCCCAAGGCAGTGACTAATCTTTCATTCTGAGCCTAGTCCTCCATACTTCCCACGTGCAAAGAAAGCATTTCCCTTGCTCTCAAGGAATTACAATTAAAAATGGGTACTAACAATACCAACAAATATCTTGACCAAAGAGAACATGTGAAAACTAGAGACAGAAAAGACTCCTTTGATAAGCCAAAGAATCAAAGAATGCATAAAATAAGCCTCAGAATTAGATACTTAAAAAAAAAAAAAATAGTCCTACAAAAACCACACAGAGTTTATTAGCAAACCGGAATACTGCTGAGGTACTCATGACTAATGACTATGACTCTTACCAGCCAAGCCAGAACACATAATCTAATTAGTCACTCCATTCATGTAAATTAAAAAACAGCTATTTAATCTATTTGGACAAATACTAAACATTTATTCTAAATATACTGTTACATTAAATATGCTACAATGTCAAATATGCAAATATACAAACATGAATAATACTGGCTTAAATGGTGGTCCCTAGGCCTTCTCCCAACAATAGATGGAAGACCTATGACAACTTCCTGACTCGGACATATGAATGTTTACTATTTACAAATCACCATGTTACTAAATGAGAGCAAAAATGAAGTCATGTTTCTAACCTCAAGAAGCTTAAAATCTACCCAAATCACAATTTTTTTTTAAAAAGACTATGTAATTTTAAAAAAAGAGAAGCTTAAAATGTAGACAACAATACATGTGTGTGAAAGTGTTTGTGTGTGTGCGTATATATGTGTATAATATATAAAATAGATGTAATATATTTATTATATATGTTTATAATATAAGTGCTCATATTTTACTTGGAGATTAATTTCAGGAATGAGAGAAAAAGCAAGACTTGGAAGGTTCCCAAAATTCTATCTTACAAGTTATCAAAAGTAAAATAGAAAATACTATTTATAGAATATGCTTGCATTTACCTAAAAATACATACCATAAAAATTGTTGTATCAGAGCTCCCAAACGACGTGATTGCTCCCAGTTCCCAAAACTTACCTAAAATTGTTACCTTCTTTAAGCTATTATTTTTCTTCTTTTAAATTGTGCCACATATGTTTGTTACAATCGCTGGGTTATTTATCAGCAAAGACTCAAGGATGAAGCATTTTTATATCTGAAAACCATGCTCTACTATTGCTACATTTCTCTTATACAATGATTCTGTTTGGAACAACTTCACTTGAGTTGCTATTTTAAGAAACAGATGCATTTACAGCTATGATAAATTACACCAAGGACTGTGTGTGCACCTTGATGGATGAAAGAAGATCTTTACTAATGAAAAGACCTCGTCCCTCAAAAACCCCACAAATATCACTCCACAATTGAGAGATACTTCGTCTGTTAAATATCTGCTTCCAAAACCATGGACATAGGATCCAACCTCACCAAAAATCCTAACCACCTTAACTAGAAAAGGACACCTTAACTGAATGCAGGGAAGGGTGTCATTTTCCCATTTTCAGGGGCGAAATTATCCGTGGTTCTGTTACCACCACTTACAAGAGCTCGGCTGTACTGGACTCCCCTCGCGCACCTTTCCACCCAAAGCGCATCACGATCTGCATCCACAGCTCTGCAATCCTGCCGCCAGCCCCTTCGCGGCTCCCAGAACCTTCACACACACTCACACACACACACACAAGCGCAAGCACGCGGCCCTAGCAGCCCGCTGTGACCATGAGCGCCTCTCCTTCCATCACCGGCCGCCCAGAATGCCGGATCCGGAACAGAGAGAGGCAACTTACAGGACGGACGACTGCGGCTCGGCACCAGGTCGGGCACCGGGCTGCGGGCAGCCGGGCGCCGAGCCCTCGCGCCCACCCGGGAGCCGCCATGCCGGCGGGTGCCAGCGCCTCACCTTGCTTGCCCCGGTCCATATCTCCAGCCCGCCGCCTCGCTTCCTCTGCGCCCCTGCCGCCTGCAGCCGGTCCCGGCTAGGATCGCCCGCCGCGCCGCGCTCCTTCGCGCTCCGCTGCGCCGGCGACTCCAGCGAAGTCCCCACCCCCGGAGGCGTTGGGCTCGGCGGCGCCGCCCGCCCTTGGCGAGGAGCGCTTTCCCCGGGCGTCACCCAACCACCTGACCCGGCCGACCTGTGCGCTCCGCCACGTCGGCACGGGCGGCGCCGGGCTAGGAGTGTCAGGCACGCCCGGGCACTGGTACTGGCAGGAAATGGGACCCGCAGGAGGGAAGAGGAAGAGGAGCTGACGAGGAGATGCAATCAACCATGGAGGCGAGGACCCACAAGGCGGAATCAAGTTATTTATAAAATCCAAAGTTTCCTCTAAGGCATTAGAGATACCCTTTCTCTGACACCGCAAATACCTGCTCTTTTCGTATTGTTGAGTAGAAAACTCAGGAAGGTTATTTAGAAATACCAAAGGCTCTTTTTTATTCCTTTATATTCTCATCATTCCTCCTCTTATTCTTATTACCGAAATAATGCCTTCTGTTCTCTTCAATAACTAGGTTCAAAACAGGCGAATATGACAAAGAATCTCTTGAAAAATTATGTAATCCTGTCTTTACAAAGAAAGTGGGGATTTTTTTTTTTTTTTTTTCAGGAATTTGGGAAGAGTTCTATATGATAAATATGTGCCTGGTTTGAGACCAGGATTGAGGACAGCACGTTCTTTTAAGTAACCAAGGGTCAGAATTATCAACCGAAATATTTTGAAAATGTATTTAGAGGCTTTTTGTCCATTCATCAATGGACAATTTTAAGTTCTTGTAACAATACTGAATTATTAGCTTTTAGCATTCTGTTTTCAAAGTGTTTTAGTTATTGGTCTTCCTTTAAGTCACCATCCATCATCCAGAGCAGTCCTCAGTTTCATGAACCAGCCAAGACTGAAGTGAGGGGAGCTTCTCTGTTAAGTGTGGAAACTCTGGCTTGGCCTCATCTCACAACGTTGTAGAGTGCTCCATACACACTTGTTAGCTGCCGTCAAGTAAACCCGACATATAGTGATCCCATGCACAACGGAAAAAGTGCCTGGTCCTGGACCATGGGATCATTCCCAGATAGGAATGTTGTGATCTATAGAGATCTCATTGGCTGGTGTTCAACCTCTAACCTTTCAGTTAGCAGCCAATCAAATTAACCATTTACACACACACACACACACACACACACACACACACACGGTCCGATATACACTACAATTCTATCAAGATGGGTTTGAATTACCCACAGCTGCTTGAAGAGACTCCATGTTTTCTATCTCCTTACTGTTGTACTCATGTAAAGTTTATCTCCAACATCTTTTTCTTGAAGTTTATTCCGTTTGTCTCATATAGCCCTACTAGGTTATACACTCCAGGAGGACAAGGATCATTTTGCTCATCTTTGATTGCTTAAATTATGCCATGCACTTAGTAAATACTGGCATTTTAGTGTTCAGGGTTAAATTTTTAAAGCTTGAGGTATATCTGCTAACGATCCAGTGTTTGTAACTAAAATCTACAATGATATACCATAGTGCCCTTTGTCCACAGTTCCACTTTCTGCGGTTTCTGTTACCCTGGTCAACAGCAGTCTGAAAACAGGAGCCTAACACTATGTCATGATGCCCAAGTCACTCACCTCATTTCATCTCACAAAACTTTTATTACAGTATATTCTTATAATGGTTCTATTTTATTATTAGTTATTGTTGTTAATCTCTTATTGTACCTGATTTATAAATTAAACTTTATCATAGGTATGTTATGTATAGGAAGACAAACTAGTATATATAGGGTTTGGTATTATCAGTGGCTTTAGGCATCCAATGGGGATCTTGGAACATATCTGCCACAGATAAACGGAGACTGATGTACTTTCTCAAAAGTTGTGTGGTTTGTTTTTTTTTTTTAAATGTAACTTTAATTTGGCATTGACAGGAAATTATATAATGTAGTAAAGAATTTTTGATAAACTGATGTTCAAGTCTATTGTATAGAGATAAACATCTGAGGAGACAATCTCTCCAACTATGAAATCATGGGAAAATAATACCACTGGAAAATAATTGTTGGTTGGAATTATTATTTGTTCTATTCATATCTATTTAAGATATAGTGATGGATTTGTTAGGTATGTTGGAAGGAACTATGTCCTGTTTTCTGAAGAGTTTATATACTTGTTTACATCTGTGGCAGAGATGGCTAATAGCCTACCCAATATCCACCTTTCCTGTTTTCCTTGCTAAGAAAACTGGAATATTGTTTGGGGTAAAAATGTGCCCCACTGAAACACTCACCACTTCAGACTCCCTTGAAGCTGAGGGTGGCTCTCTAACACATTACCGCCAAATGAGATATGAACAAAAGTTGCTGCTTGTAACTCTCTTTAAAAGAAAGACAGGCTTGGCAATATTATTTTGCCCTTCAGCTCTCCCCTTCCTGCCTAGAGAAGCAGAAACCATCCTGCAAGCAAGAGGAAGAAAGCCAGGAGCCAAGGATGGCTTGGTGGGAAGGCAAAAAAAACCTGAATCTTCCATAACATCACAGATCTTCTTACAGGAGAAAAAGAGATGCCTGACTTTCTTGAGCCACTCTAGTGGATTCAAGTGTAGCCAAATGCAATCCTGACTGAAACAAGGAGCCATTTTGAAACTCCCTTTCAGGCATGTACCAACATTGGTGGGTTCATGCAATCCTGAGCCCTAGGCAATTACTAGCTTAATTTTCTCTGTGAGGTTAAATAAGCACTGTTCATACTATAAACAGCCTAGTGTATGGTATTTCCACAAAAGCCTGCTTTTCTCTTGTGACTTCCTTCTACTTTTTTTTCCCCCGACAGAGCGAATCTGTACTTACAAGTCACGCAATGTCACTTCAGCACTCTGAGGTATCCCTGGAGAACGACTAGCACTTAAACAGAGCACCTGAGTGCATTCAGCTAAACCATCACTTAAAGGGCTCCATACAGAAGAGAGACAGTGGATTTACTTTGTGGTGTTGTTGCTGTTAATAGTGACATAGATTTTTTTTTTTTAAGTTTCTGTTTTCAAAATACCCATCACCGATGAGGTTTTTACAAGGAAAAGTATACTTCCCCAAAAGCAGATCAATTGAAGCACATTAGACAATTGAAGAAGCTAGAAATAGAAGCCATACATTATTATAAGTGAAACTTCTACACTTTGCCCTCATTATGCACCCCTCCCCATCTTCAACTGATCTTGTTAGGTGCTGTGGAGTTGATTGCAGCTCATAGCAACCCCGTGTGCAACAGAGTGAAATGCTGCCTGGTCCTCTGCCATCCTCACAATCCTTGCTGTGCTGGAGCCCATCCTTGCAGCCACATGTCAGTCCATCTCCTTGAGGGTCTTCCCTTTGTTCTCTGACACTGCACTTTAACCAAGAATGAGATCCTTCTTGGGGGGCTGGTCCCTTCTGAGATGACCAGAGTAGGTGAGACAAAGTCTGGCCATTCTTACTTCTAAGGAGCATTCCGGCTGCACTTCTTCCAAGACAAATTTGTTTGTTCTTCTGGCAGTCCATGGTATTTGCAGCATTCTTCGCCAACACCACAACTCAAAGCCATCAGTTCTTCGGTCTTCCTTATTTATTGTCCAGGTTTCACATGCAGATGAGGTGACTGAAAATATCATGGCTTGGGTTAGGTGCACCTTAGTCTTCAGAGTGGCATTTTCAACTGATAGCCAGCAGAAATCACCAAAAAAAAATGTGTAGAAAGCAGGGAGCTCTCAGTAGCAACCCCCCCTTCACATTTGTGAGGCCCTGGCTTTCTCTTTATACCCTTGACTCTGTCTGTCCTGTATCCCTTTGGGAACTGTAGAAACCTTAACCACATATCCCAACTCTGTCCACACTCTCCTTTCAGTCACCTCTTAGCCATACCTTGAGCATAGGGCCATACTTAAAAGGACTACAAACTTTCCCCCAGAACAGTCTTTTGAGAGCAACCCTAAGCTCAAGGTACAGTTAAGAGGCAGCTCCTCTTTAGGGAAGAGATTTTAGAGTCACAGGTACCTCGTGCAAGGTCTATAATAAGGGTATGGATCTGATTAAGTTCATTCAGTGCCTGAAGAGAGGCACTGGTTGGCAGCCTCTAAAGCCAGGGGTATAGGGCAGGAGCTCCCAGTAGCCTGGTTGTAGGGCTACCAGATCAGATGTTATAGAATGCCTCATTCATTTGAATTTCAGATACACAATGAATAATTTTTAGTATATCTCACACAGTAACTAAAAATTCTGCTTTCATAAAGATTTACAGTCTTGGAAACCCAACAATGTTTGCTATGAGTTGGAATCAACTTGATGGCGGTGAGTGTTTTGGTTTTGGTACTAAAAATCATTCACTGTATATCTGAAATTCAAATTTAACTCCTTCTCCTGTATTTGTTAAATTAGGCAAACCTATTAGGATGGCAAATAACAACAACAACAACAACATTAGGAGCTCTGGTAGCATAGTGCCTAAGGCACTTGACTGCTCATCAGAAGGCTGGCGGTTCAAACCTACCAGCCACTCCTCGGAAGGAAAGTTGGGCAATCCTACTTCCGTAGTGATACTGCCTCGGAAACCCAAGGAGGGGTCGCTATGAGTCAGGGATAACTCGACGGCAAACAAAAACAACAACAACATCTGTGTTTAAGGTAGTTCTCATTCTCTGACCAGTAAAACAACTGAAGCTGTTTAACATTTGTTATTACAATTTGGAAAAAGTTATCATAATCCAAGATCAAAGACAGTCTCTTGATGCTCATACTGTGAAAGAGAGAGAGAGCCCTGGTGGAACAATGGTTAAATGCTCGGCGGCTAACCAAAGGTCAGCGGTTGGAACCCACCGCTCCATGGGAGAAAAGACCTGGTAATCTGCTCCCATAAAGAGTAGAGCCTAGGAAACCCATGGGACAGTTCTACTCTAGCCTATAACGTCATTATGAGTCAGAATCTACTCGATAGCAAACAACCACACA